ACAGGGCAAACCAGTAAGTGTAGGAACTGAAGGAGGGAGGAGGGACTACCCAAAGCATTGCTTTCTCTTCATCAGGAAAGTCATAATATCCAGGTAGTTGTATTGGAGAAGAATAATGTGCAAAATTTTACTTATGAGTACTCTGAGTTTGCATATGTGATTTTTGCAAGAGAAAACTTTCCTCTCACACTCTGCTTTCCATAGCCTGTTATCCACCAAAGCAAAAAAAAAAAAAATGTACCCTTTTCAACTGTGTCCTAAGCACCGCAATAGTACCCATAGCCTCATGAATCTTTATTGGAGAATTTTGAGTGCCAAGTTCTGAGCTATGTGATCCATGTAGATTGTTTGAATTTATCTGCAAAGTTCTTCCCAAGGTATAAGTACTACATTATTTTTACAAAGACCAAAGGAGCACAGCTGTTTATGTAAATTTGTGCTAGGTGTTTAGGTTGGGTAGAATAACTGAAGCCATGTTTGACCTGAGCTGTGGATTTGAGACACAGGGTGTCTGGGCTCAACAATGCTGACATGTTGTCCCCTCACAAGCCAACCATGCATTTCTTTTTCTTGGACTTCAGGATGGGACTTTACTATTGCTCCCATTTTGGAGTTTACATTAGTTCTAGGGATACAATAATGTGTGACATCTGCTGCACAAATTCAGGTAGAATGGATGAGATGCCTGAGATCTAAGACAAAGAAGGCACACAATAATTCTACATAGACCTCCCTCCTTTCCCCACACTGGGATTTCCTTGCAGCTGTCCATATCCTCCTGTTCTTATAAATAGAGCATTCAATTTGAAAAGGGGACATAGTATCACATCTCTATTTCATTACTATTCAGGAAACTGAAAAGAGATATTAATGTATTTGTTATGTGCCTGCAGTTCAGCCTCTGGATTATGTTTAAATATTCTTAAGTTTGGAAAATAATGAAAAAAAATTAGCACATCAGACTCAGAGTTTAACAATTTCATTTTGACTGCTGCTGTTGGCTCCAACTTAGTATTTCTTGAACGTACTGCAGGTTGTTAGTATCTCTGAAAATCAATATTGTCATTCAAACAGATTTCTAGTTGATACAGATGTATTAAGTAGAGATTAAAAATAAAATGGGTATTCCCATTTTATGTGATTAATATGTGATGAATGTATAAAACAGGGGAAAATAAAAGTTGGCTGGTTATTATTAATATGGCAATGTGGCAAGGTTAATCTACATACTCCTTCAAATAAAATATCTTATGACCTGAAGTTCGTCAGCCTTTTCCTGTAATGTTGTATTTTAATTGTGTCCTTATGTCCTGTATGTTTGGAGAGGATTGTCTTATTTCTGATTCCCCAGAGCCTTTAACATATTTGGTATAAAGGACATAAAAAAATGTTAAACACTGGATAGAACTTCCTTTGTTCACAGATCCTGGCCATAATCTCGGTGTCTTCAACACACTTGAGGCTTTCCTGTCTGTGCTTTCACCTTCTTAGGAACGTGCCATAGAACAAGAGATATGATGTAACAACTCTTATTTTTGCCATTGTCGTGGGCCCATGGGCCCTATACTTATGCTTCACAGCATCTAAAGCATTCAGTTATTTCTTAAACAACAACAGAGATTTTCATAGGCATAAGAAAAGCCAACTAGGTACTAATGGGAGTGCCAGGAAACCTCTTTTCTTGGGCTGAGACACATGTTAGACTTCACATCATTCCATCGTTCCAGTGTCCTTTGACAATAGTGTTTGCCAGCAGATAGCGAGTAGGTAAACAGAGAACAGACTGTTTTCTTAGCGATTTCTAAAGAAAAACCCCACAATGATCAAATATTTAGTAAGAAACAAACATGTATATTACGAGCTACACATGGTGTGACCATGAGTGTTATTCTTCCTATTTCCATTAAGTAGTACGAGCACAGAGAGGTACTGCTTATGTAGCAGGTCAATATACATGCCAAGAATGTGCATTAGTAACTCCTAGTGCAGGCTATTGTCTCTTTTACTAAAGTCAAATGTAGATAATACTCCCAATACAATATAAATTTTCTGGAGTAGATACTTCAGATGAATTGTTCTTAGATGGGTCTCAGGGGTAGTTTTGATAGTGCATATTAGGAAAACAGTGGGTACACATGATGATGAATTTTTTTCCTGGGACAATAGATATAGGTGATTAATAATAATATTAACATTCATCCATAGTAGATGTCAAAAAATTATCCACCACCACACACATTATAATTTTCACTTTTGTGAAATAGACATAACAAAGAATTTTTTTGGGGGGTACTGGGTATTGAACTCAGGGGCACTCAACCAGTGAGCCACATCCCCAGCCCTATTTTGTATTTTATTTAGAGACAGGGTCTCACTGAGTTGCTTAGCACCTCACTTTGCTGAGGCTGGCTCTGAACTCTCCATCCTCCTTCTTTAGCCTCCCAACTCGCTGGGATTACAGGCATGTGCTACTGTGCCCAGCTAGACATAACAATTTTGAAAGTAGTATTATAATAATAAACTTAAAAGTTACATGATGTCCCTCTCTCAGGTCATGCTGTACATCACTTAAAGCTTTGGAGACCGGTATTTGTACTTCACAGGGAGACTAAAAAGCACATGTTGATGTCCAGTAGTACATTTCAGGGACAAGAGAAGTTGTGCTGTGCACTCCTTAGATGAACTTATTTACCTTTTGGATATTTCTGAGAAAACTGTTTATGAATAAATAAATCAATTGTTATGGAAACATTGACAGCAGCATCTGTCCACCAAATTCATGATAGTAGCTGTGTTTGGAGGAGAGCTATGCAGAAGAAAGGAATCATGTAGAGATACCAAGAGCTCAAATTTAAAAGATAATAATTCAAATCTTGATATAATTTTAGTTGTGAAACAATTATTACCAAATATTTATACTTTCAAATTGATATTCTGTTTTATTCATTGTAATAACAGGTAATGAGACTGTACCATATCATAAATCTTAATGCCAGTTATAATTTAAGACAGTCAGATATTCTCGTGAAATTGGGTTTGGTGTGACACCAGGCTATCTGAATGTTTTAACATTTACATAGGTAAATATGTTGATACACAAGATTGAAAGCCACTAGTTAAGCAATATATTTTATTTAAAAATTTCTTACAACAATGTTGCAAATTAGGTCATTTTTTTATTACTTTGTCCATATGAAGAATCTGTTCCTCTGAGTTCACAATGGTTCATGTGCTTTTCTCTTTTGCCTCTTATCTCAATTAAATCATAGTGAGACCTGACAAAAATCATAATACTGAGTTTTTTTCACAGTTTTCTTCACTAATTATAATTCATATACCAGAGAGATTGATGTGAAAGTTTTAAATTTTTTTTTTTTTTTTTTTTTTTTTTTTTTTTTTAGATTTTTTAGTTGTCAATGGACTTTATTTATTTACTTATATGTGGTGCTGAGGATCTAACCCAGTACCTCACGCATGCTAGGCAAGCACTCTACCACTGAACCACAACCCCAGCCCCTGATGTGAATATTTATATGATAATCAAAAAAAGTTGGAACTGAAACTGGGTTTGGGGGGCATATAACTGGTGTAATGAGAGTGATTATGATCAGAAAAATAGTGCTGGATGGGATCATGTTATCGTAGATTATTCTATCAAAAACTACAAAGAGGAAATTAAATTCTGTGCATGCATGATGATGTCATAGTGAACTTAATTGCCAGGCATGGTGGAACATGCCTGTAATCCAGAGGCTTGGGAGGCCGAGGCAGGAGTATTGCGAGTTCAAAGCCAGCCTAAGCAAGGGCTAGGTGCTAAGCAACTCAGTGAGACTCTGTCTCTAAATTAAATAAATACAAAATAGGGCTGGGGATATGGCTCAGTGGTTGAGTGCCCCTGAGTTCAATCCCCAGTATTAAAAAATAAATAAATAAAACAAACTCAGCTGTTATGTATAACTATTAGACCCTAATAAAATCATTAAAAAACCCTGAAAGGGATAGTTTTTCCTCACCAGATAGGTATGGGGCTAATATAAATAAACTTGTATAAAATTAAAAAAAATCAAAACCGTTTTCTAATATTTCATTATTTTTAAATCACCGACAGGCACCATGTGCACTAATGCTATGATTTTGGTCTGTGACATCAATGATTATGTACAGTTATCAAACCATATTTCTTAACTTTCAAGTCTATCTAGACCAAGGATAAGAGGAATATGTTGATTGCTTTTCAAAAGATAAAGAGTGTATGACCAAGGTCATAAATCCATGGAGGAAAATAAGGAAACCTAGAAGTGATAAAACCCCGGAAGAAAACTGGTCCCTAGGAATCTGTTCTGATTATGAATTTTCATCTTTAATTTAATATTCAGATCATGCAGTTCTAGCTCTTATGGGGTGTTTATAAATATTCTTCATAAAATGGATTTGTACCATTGTCTTAGAATATGGTAGTGTATAATAGACTGTCCCTTAATTTCTTCTAATAAAGTGTGTTTTTTTTCTCAAAGAGGAAGCAATGTTTCTTATACTATTTTTTTTTTCTGGAGAGTAGACAGCATTTTACTGTGGTTATTATCTTGCTACATGGAGTGTTCTTGGTTTTCTAACATTGTTCATTTGAGTGTCTCTAAATCAGGTATGTAGGTTGGGTGCAGAGATTCATGACTGTAATACCCACTACTAGGCTTTCTGAAGCAAGAGATCTTTTCAAGGCCAGTCTGGGCAACTTTAGGGAGACCCTGTCTGTCTCAAAGTAAAATAAAAGTGGATATATATACAGTTTAGTAGAGTGTTTGCCTAGTGTGAGACCCTGGGTTTGCTCTGTAGTATGGCAAAAAAAAAATGTGTGTACAGAAGGGATAAATGATACATAAAACAGTATTGAGAAAGTTACAAGAGGATTTGTTCAGACTGTGAAAGGCTGGTGAAGGTGTACATATCTGAGTCTTAATGCTCTAAGGATAAACAATTCAGTTAAATGTGCCTATGGAGTGATGAATGCTGCTCATTTGTTTCCTTTTTCCCACCCTGTTTTCTGTCAAAGATGTCCCAGCATTATAGATGCACTAAATGTAACAGCCATCTTAGAATTCCAACTCCTGGGATTCTCAGAGGATCCAGACCAGCAACCAATCCTCTTTGGACTGTTCCTGTTCATGTACCTGGTCACTATTCTTGGGAACCTGCTCATCATCCTGGCAGTGAGCTCTGACTCCCACCTCCACACCCCCATGTACTTCTTCCTCTCCAACCTGTCCTTGACTGACATATTTTTCATTTCCACCACAGTCCCAAGAATGATTGTGAACATTATAACTCACAGTAGAGCCATCTCCTATGTGGGTTGCCTGACACAGATGTCCTTTTTTATCATTTTTGGATGTACGGATGGTATGCTTCTGACTGTGATGGCCTATGACCGTTTTGTGGCCATCTGTCACCCCCTGCATTACTTAGTCATCATGAATCCTCGCCTCTGTGGCTTCTTAGTTTTTATGTCTTTGTTGTTTAGCATTTTTGTATCCCAGATTCACATTCTGATTGCATTAGAGTTTACCAGCTTCACAGAGGTGGAGATTTCTAATTTCTTCTGTGACCCTGCTCAAGTTCTGAGTCTTTCCTGTTCTGACAGTTTCTTTGGTCTCATTATCAAGTATTTTATTGGTGCCATCTATGGTTTTTTCCCAGTCTCAGGGATCCTTTTCTCTTACTATAAAATAGTTTCCTCCATTCTGAGGATCCCATCCTTGGGTGGGAAGTACAAGGCCTTCTCTATTTGTGGGTCTCACCTGTCAGTTGTTTGCTTATTTTATGGAACAGGAATTGGAGTCTACCTTGGTTCAGCTGTGTCATCCTCCCCCAAGAAAGATATGGTGTCTTCAGTGATGTACAGTGTGGTCACTCCCATGCTGAACCCCTTCATCTACAGCCTGAGGAATGAGGATATTAAAAGTACCCTTAGGCGGCTCCACAGTAGAACAGTCTAATCTCAGGACTTTTGGCCTGCATTTGATAAGTAGTTAGGAAAATGCAATAAGATGAAGCAAATAAATCTGTAAATACTGCATTATTACTAACACTCTTTTTGTATCTTATTGTATTTTATATATCAAGATGTTTAACAGCAGATTGATGGTTCATTATTTGTGGGAGGGATAAATGGGGAATTTCAAGTGGGATTTTGAAAGCTAAGAAACAGTGTGTAGTTGTGTGGACCTTAGATGTGAACACATGTGGGTGGACCTTGCATGTGAACATCTGGTGGTGAACCTTGGGTGTGAACACATGCTGGGAGTTGGTGTAGTTTGGACCTGGAATGTTCCCCAAAGACTCACGCATTGAGGGCTTGGTGCCAGCACAGGAGTGCTCAGATGCTGGGTGAGAAATGCTGGGTGAGAAATGGTTGGTCCCCGAGAGCTCTAACCTCCTCTGTGGAGTGATTCATGGATGGATTCATAGGTGAGAGGGCTTCAGGGAGGTGGTGGAAACAGTAAGAGGGGAAACATAACAACTAAAATATCCTCTGACCCGAAGTCAGTATTTAAAAAAAAAATTCTATAATGGGCCCTTTTATTTCTATCCTTCTGCAAGTAAATGCTGTGTATTTGAAGAGGAATGATTAATCCTCTTTCATTTTTGATTCCACAAAACCTACACAAAGGCACAGAGGCATAAAAAGTAAAAATCTGTTTTAAATATTGAAGAGATCATTCCCTGGTTCATAAAAATGTCCACAATCACTGTGTCTTCAACACACTCTGCTTTTTCTGCCTGCCATTTCATGCCTCTTAGGAATGTCTTATAGAACCTGAGGCAAGTTATGTTGGTACATTTTTGTCTATGTCATGGAAATACTGGCCTGTATTCCATTGGACAACACCTGCAGCATTTTTTTTAAAATTCCAAGATCATGTCTGAGATTATAATGATTGAAAAAGAAAAAAAAAAACAAAAACAAATAGAGGGGCATAAGCAAACACTGTGAAGGGGGCTATAGCACATTTAAGATCCACAGCACTCCAAAGTGAATGCCATTTGAAATTTTATTACCCATTAGACTAAATTTTTCCATAGTGATGGGATTCTTAATTTGAAAATGCCAGGGTGACCCAACATTTACTAAGTTTCAATGTTCCTTTAGGTATCACACCTGGCATGGAGATGGGTGTTGTCTCCATTTCTATTAAGCAGTATGAGCATAGAGAAGTGGAGAATTTTCCACATATTATGCACATGGTCAAATAAATGATATGGGAGAAAAATGTTATTTTCCTCACCCCATTTCAGGCCATTCTCCCTCCAATTGGATCTGAGTAGAAATATTATTCATAATACTGGATGAAATATCTTGGTGATTTATCATGGGAGCATTATTTCTAAGATTGCTGAGATATTTCAATAATAGAACTTCAGAATAAGAGGATGTAGTTGATGATGACCCATATTTTTGTTTGGACAACAGATATAGGTTTTTAATAATAAAATGAATATACATCAATTGTTTAAAATTGAACAAATATCTTCCATCTGCATATTATATGGAAATTACATGGAGAGAGGAGCAAGAATTTTTAAAGGCTTGTTGTGATAATAAACTAACATATCAAATGATGTTCCTCCCTTACAATAAATACTGTGCATCAGTTAAGGCATTTCAAGTAGCCTTATGTCTTCAGCCAGTCCTTCAGCTTAACAGCGTCTGTTCTGAGAGCTGCACTGATGGGCCTCCTCTTATGGTCATCTGCTTCAGGAAGCTTCTATCTGACATGATCTTCATATGAATCCTGCAGATGGGGCCTGAGCCTTTATCAGGCACCTGAGATTGTTGGGACTTGGGATCTGCAATTCTTTGTTATGGCCCAGCAGAGACATAATGTAATCTAGTAGTACAGAGGAAACCTTGGGATCTTGGAAGGACTGTTGGAAGTATTATTTTCTTATCATGAATACAAACATCACAGTTTAGTAGCCAGCTGGAAGGACACAAATATGTAAAGTTTCAATGATGTGGATTGAAAGTGAATCTCACCATTGTGTACCTCCACAAGAAATTAATTAAAATAGTAATAACTATGGGTAAAATGGCAGAAAGATCAATAGAGGGAAGGGAGCATGAGGTGGGAAAAATGTAGAGGAAGAATAGGTCCTATGGTCTGTATATTAAGAAGATATATTCCATGCTTGTATAATTATGCCAAGATAGATTCTACTGTCATGTATAATTAAAAAGAACCATTAAAAAGGTGGAGTGTCAGAAATCTTATTCAAATCTTGTTCACTCTACCCATTGAGTTCTTCTTCCCATTGAAATCATGTCCAAAACAGCACAAATGGGTCCTTCTAAAGTGTCTCCTCAGTACTATGAAGATCCATGATGGTGATGATCAGGATGAGGAGAATGACAGTAGCCTTAACATCATGAACCCATAAAAAATGCTTCCAAGTTGCAGGTGCTGAGTGACACTTCTACGTGATATGTTTCATTTCTTGTGCATCATATAATTTTAGTTATGTATGCCCATTTTCACAGAAAATGAAAAAGTTAATTATCCTTATGTAACTTGTACTCATTTGTTAGGTAGCAAAGAGTGAAGCCTTGTTTGCATTGGGCTGTGTGAGTATGGACACAAGGCATCATGGAGGAGAAACCTGGCTTGGCTGTACCATCAACAAGCCAATCAAACCTTTCACTTCTCAATTACTCCAATATGAAACTTTTTTCCCTGCGCTCTTCCTTGTGGGATTCCTGGTGATCACTGGGCAGAATACTGGGTGGTATCTGCTGCATCCACTATGGAAGAACAACCACAGGTCACAGGAGAGATCACATTCAGTACAGGTCATGCTCTTACACCTACTCAGGGGTATTAATGCCCCTGATCCCATGGTCCTCCATGCTTGCAAATCTCTCAATCTCAAAAGGAAACCTAAGGTCAGCTCTTGATGTCACTCTTACTCATGGAACTGAAACAAGTTTAAAAATATTCCTGAGATGTACCCATGGTTAGGACCTCTGCTGAAAACTTTGTCATCTGTGAAACACTACAAATGTTGAGTGGGCCAGACTTCAATTATCCTTACTGTGACATGGGCAGGCTGTTTATGTCTGAGATTCAACATTGTGATCTAAGTTGATTTCTAGCTGAGACAACTGCAGTTAGTCAGGATGAAACAGAAAATAGGTGCTCTCTGTATGATTAATATATGAGGCATGTTCAAAATTAGGGCAAAATAAAATTTAGATATTATTATTATTACTGATGATAAGAGGTATTCTTTATGCCCCTCAACTAAAATATCCATTGACCCGAAGGTATGTTTTCCTGTATCTGATTGGCCATTTTATTTTTGACTCTACAGATTATATGCTGTGTATTTGGGAAAAAATATCTCTTTCATTTCTGATTTGCCACAGCTGGTGTTTTCTTGATATAGGAGGTACAGTTTCTTAAGTTTTATAAGTCTAAGGGATTTGTACCAAGTTCTTAGTACAAAAAAGGTGTAGTGGACTGTTTCTAATTTCCTCTTATTAAAATTACTTTTCTTTATAAGGAAGGATGTTTTTCCCCATTTTTTCCTTAAAGCATAGGCTGCATTGTACAGTGATCATGAATGTATTCTCTCCATGGTCCTGGACTTCAACATTGTTCAGTTCAATCTCTCTAAAGTGAGTGGAAAGTGAGTGTAGAAAAGAGTGAATAACACAGAGAATAATCATGAAAGAATGTATGAAGATTGGGCTTTGGCTACTGAGAAATGTTGTTGAAAATGTCTGGGAATCAAGTGTAAACACATTTCTTAGGAATACTTGAATTCAAATGTGGACAGAGTGCTTGGGACCTTCATGTATTTCTTTCTCTCATCCTATTTTCTTTTGCAAAAGTTGTCCAATCAATTCAGAACTATCTCCTGAGACTCTCAGAGGACCCAGACTGGCAGCCCATCTTCTTTGAACTGTTCCTGTCTATGTACCTGGTCACAGTGCTTGGGAACCATGTCATCATCCTGGCCATCAGCTCTGACTCCAACCTCTACACCCCCATATACTTCTTCCTCTCAAACCTGTCCTTGGCTGACATTGGTTTCATCTCCACCATGGTCCCAAAGATGCTCAAGAATATTCAAACTCACAACAGAGCCATCTCCTATGTGGGTCACCTGACCCAGATGTCTCTTTTTATCATATTTGTATGTATGGATGATCTGCTTCTGACTATGATGGCCATCTGTTACCTCCTGCATTATCAAGTCATTATGAACACTTGCCTCTGTGACTTATTAGTTTTGGTGACTTTTTTGTTAGCTTTTTGGAATCCCAGATGCATAATTTGATTGCATTACAGGTTACCACCTTCAAGGATGTGGAAATTTACAATTTCTTTTGTGTTCCTTCTGAAGTACTCAGACTTTCCTGTTCTGACCCCTTCACCAATAACCTAGTTGTGTACTTTGGCAGTGCCATCTTTGGTCTTTCCCTTCTTAGGGATCTTTTACTCTTACTATAAAATAATTTCCTCCATTCTGAGAATACCATGCAGAGGTAGGATGTACAAAGCCTTCACCACCTGTGGGTCTCACCTGACAGTTGTTTGCTTATTTTATGGAACAAGCATTGGAGTGTACCTTGGTACAGTTGTGTCACATTCATCTAGAAAGGCTTCAGAGGCCTCAGTGTTGTACACAGTTGTCACCCCCATGCTGAACACCTTCACTACAGCCTGAGGAACAGAGACATTTAAAACACTGTGAGGAGGCTTCTTTGTAGAATTGTCTGTTCTTATTATCTGGGACATCAACTTAATGTTTAGTTTGGAATAACAATAAAATTTGACATCAATACCTATAAATCTTGCCTCTTTGGTCACCTTATTTTTTGTAGTTTATTAACTTTAATTTCTAACATTCATGGTGAGATTGCTGTTGTCAGCACTGGAGAGAGGCAGTAATGGGGTATGAAGGTTCAATTAGGAAAGATCAAAATTTGTTA